TGGATTTTATTGCATGACTTTATGCATATTCCTCAGGCTTGATCTGACACCTACCAAACTGGCTTTTCATGGAGGCCTGGAAGCAGTAGAGTAGTTCGAGACCTAACTGCCTTTAGGGCTCCTCATGTTGCCTTTCTAACTTGCCACAGACCATAGGACTTTTTTCTGACTCTGAAATCATAATGCACGGGATCACATTCTGTATATTCAACCACACATGCTGCCAGATATGGTCCTAAACGTTTGAACAACCTTATTTTACTAGAAAACTTTGTCCTAAACTGTGAATCATTCAAGTGCTAAGACTTAGGTGTTTGATAGAGTGTGTAAGGAAAGTTGGCTGTGCTGAGTTTACTGGTTTATTGGTAAACATTTTACCTTATGGGAGAATTCATTCTGGTAATTTTGACCAGATAGGGTGTTTGCTTCTGTGCTGAATTGTGGTGATGCTGTTCCATTCTGAGACATCTTTGGCTTTCTTATGAAATTATGTTGCGTGTGTGTGTTTACATGTATAGCTGGTGTACTTCAATAAGATCGTAAACTTACTGTGTATAGGGACTGCATATCATTTAAAATCTTCTCCATAGCCTTCAAGCTATGGTTCTTATTTAACTTCACAAGATCATTATTCTGTGAGGATGCTAAGAAATAAAACTAGACTTTACATACAGAGGCCAAGATCTTTTCAGAATGATATAACATTAAGAGAGACATCTTAATACAAATAATCAGGAACAGGAGAAACAAGAAAACCACTATTCAGAGGAATGGCTGGTCAATGCTATTCTACCAAGGGAGATTATAGTAGGCCAAATAATGGTTCTGCCCCCAAAGAAGAACAAAAAACAAAGACTTCCAAATCCTGATCTTTAGAGCATGTGAACCACGTTTAATATGAGGAAGAAGGCAGATGTAAATTGAGATGTTATGTGGAATCCTGAGAAGAGGGGAAGGCAGAGATTTGGAGTGGTACCGTCTTGCCACATGAATGTGGCCCCTGGAAGCAGCAGTCTAGGAATGGATGTTTCCTCTCTTGGGGGAGTATAGCCTGGCAATACTCTGATCAGAACACTGAAGCTGTGTTTGGATTTAATTAGGGTTTGTAGAACTTTGAAAGAATAGGCTTCTGTCTTACACTGCTTTTTGTGGTAATTTGTCACACTGCCATAGGCAGCCATTTGGTATCTGGCATTGAGGTCATTTTAGTCCCTTTTCTCATTGTTGGGACAAAATATCTGACACCCACAATTTAAGGAAGCAGATGTTTATTTTGTCTGACAATTTAGTCTGAAGTTGGCTGGCTCCAAGACAGAGCAGCATGACAGAAGGCATGGCAGAGGAAAGGCAGAGTGTGTCGAAGGAGGACCTGGGAAGGGAGATGAAGCTTTTCTGGCCACAGCGCAGTGATCCGCCTCTTCTACCAGACCCTGACTCCTAACTGCAAGTCAGCTGTGAGCCCCCATAATCCAATCATATCCCTAAAGCCTTAGCTTAGAGCATTTGAAGCTCTTGGATGTCTAGATATAAATCATAACATTCCATCCCTCCACCTCAAAAGACTCATGCAAATCTTTTTATGCAAATGCATTCAATTCATCTCTAAGGGTTACTAAAGTTGTAACAGTTCCAGCCATATTGAAAAGGGCAAGTCAAAAGAGTCTTCTGAGACATGAAGCAAACTCTTAGCTGTGAGCCTCTGTAAAAATCATAAGAAACTTAAACACTACCGACATACGACGACACAGGAAAAGCATTCCCATCTCTTCTAAAAGAGAGGCAGAGGTGAGTGGAAAGCAGTGTGATCAAAGGACGACTGAAGCCCAGCAGAGAGGAGAGTAAATCCTGTAGATCCTGGTTTGGCACCCAGGGCAAGCTATGGCAAGATGTGAGTGCCAAAGGGCTTGGGGAGCCTCACCCCTGTGGCATTGCTTGTTGTTGTAGCTCTTGTGGGCTCTTTCTTGGGCTAGCTTTCATCACTCCTTGAGACTTTCCTCATACATTCTGTGTTCCTGGTGTCTCCACTTTTGGGGTTTCTGTTACACTTTGGCTTCACGCTAACAGCTTCATGCACTGCTGTTTTAGAAGCAGACTGTCTGTTCTCCTCAGCTTTCTTCTGAAGTCTGGGTGGAGGCCTCTCTGATCCCATAACTCTTACACTCTGAATGCTTGTAAAATCACCACATGGATGACCCCAGGGTCTGTTGGCAGCTCTGGTCATAGCTGGACCCCTTGAATGATGATGCAGAGGTCTCTATGTGCCCAATGGATAAGCACTGTGAACTGAATCCGAGAGCAACCAATGCTGTAGGTAGTCCTTCTTGAGCAGGGTGCCCTTGGATATGTTTTGAAAGCAAAGTCAGGCAGTTTTATACCCTTGGACCCTGGAGAGATGGATCTTGCTAAATCCTTACATGTAATCAAGGCCTTTTTTCCTACTGTCCTATTTCAAACAATTTGGATTTTCAATGCTAATGTTTTCAGTGATCAGGCTCTCCTATACTTCATCTTTGCTGGTGCCAACTTTCTTGGAGGTTCCTTTCTGGTGAAACTCAAAAAAATTTTAAATCACCAAGTTGTTCCCTTTGCTCTTGATTCTCAATGTAAAGCTTGCTAAAAACTTTCAACATGACATAGTCTGTATGTTGGTTTGCCTTGAAATTTCCTCCACCATTAATTAGTCTGCTACCCTTAATCAGTCTCTCGAAAAGTCTTAGAACATAAGCAGAATGTGAACACATTTTCTGCCAGGACATAATACACATGGCCTTGAATCTAATAGTTAATGGAGTCCTTCTTGTCTTTATTGTCTCCCTTTTAATCGCTATTCTGGTCTTCTGATCTCTGACCCGAGTCTCCCATCATGCTCTGCTTTTACTGTTTTTTGTCTGCTTCTCCAAGTGGCATCTCTAAACTTTTCCATACTTTTTCTGCAAATCAGTTCCAAAGATTTCTGAAACACAATATCAAGTAGTATAATAGGAATGACCCCACTACTCTGGTACCAAAATCTTAGTTACTTTTCTTGCCCCCGAGACACAATACCTGACACCCCCAATTTAAAGGAGAAGAAGTTCATTTTGGCTTGCATTCCAGACCATGGTCTGCTAGCTCCAAAGCAGGATAGCATGCTAGAAGGGGCTGGCGGAGGAAAAGAAGCTCATGCCATTGTGGCTGGGAAGAGTCGGGAAGGGAGATAAACCCCTCCCTGCCACATCTCTAGGGACTGTCTTTTTCTAAGCAGACCCCGCTTCCTAACAGCAAGCCCTCTGATCTAACCATCTTTCAGAAGCTCTACCTGTGAGCACATGAGGCTCTTGAGGAGCTTCAAGACCTGGACCATAACAATGTGCTGCTGTAGCAAACACCTAAAAGTGGGAAACTGGATTTACACTTGGGTGTGAGTGGAGACTGGGAGGATTTTGTGGTACCTGGTAAAAAAGCCTGCATGGTGTTGAACAAACTGCTGATAAAAAATAGGGCTGTAAAGGCTGCTGTTAGTGAGGATTCAGAAAACAGGTAGAAGCACAGTGGAAAATACCCGTGTGGTCTCAGATTAGAGGTAAATTGTCACCAGTAGAATGTTCTGAGAACAGTGAAAGCTGTCCTACAGAGAGGTTAGCCAGTGAGAGACTCATCACTGGAAATTGGAGCAAGGTGATCCTTGTTCTATGGTGGAACGAAGCTTAGCGGAATTATGGCTGTGATTGTGTGAAAAGCAAAACTGATCAGTGGTGAACTTGGGTATTTAGCTGAGGAGGTTTTCTAACAAAATGTTGAAGGTATGGCCTGATTTCTCCTTACTGCATACAGTAAAAATGAGAGGAGATAGATCAAGGGAAGAACTGTTAACAGAAAGCAACCTCAAGCTGATGATTTGGGGAACTCTCAGCTTATTCCTAACTGAAGCTCTCAGGAATTTGTTAGGTGTTAGGAATTTCTGGTTAGGAAACTGTGCTGCAGGGAAAGAGCCAGAGTAGCGGCCTTGCCATGCCAGATTTCCTGAGCTGATGGTACTTGATACTTCTACTGTTAGGTGCCATGACTCGTTAAGGGAGGCTGAGCCGTGTGGACAAATCAGATAAGCAGTAGGCGGGGCATTGGATGAAATAGGCGGGCTTAGAGCTCAAAGTATCTTCGGATAGACATGGAATTTCCCTCATTCTTAAAATGGTCTACAGCATTTCGCTTTGCTTCCTTTCAGTTCATAATTGCTCAGAGGTACTGTGCTCTGACGGGAGGAGGTGACTGTGAGAACTTCACAGCCTGAAGGCTGGAGATTAGTAGACTGATCTTGACTTGGCAGTTGTAGCAAATGATCTATTTTAATCACCTGTGATGGATGGCAGATAGCTGTGGGGGAGTGAATTGAATCTGGGAGTGCTGCTTAAAAATCTTGTGCTCTTTAGTAGTTGAATAATTAGTTATTACACCTTCTGTTACATTTTAAAACCATGGGAATTAGGTCAGTGGGAATGGTTCTCTTCTTTTGAGATGAACTGTGTTAGAGTCACTTGGGCCAGTGACAGCGCTCGGCTTCTCAGTATTATTTTGTTCTTTCTGTAACTCAATTTGTCAATTACTTAGAGCTTGTAAAACCTGAGATGGACAGGGATGCTGGCCCTGTGGGTGGATGGCACTGAAGCATACAGCCACAACCGAGAGAGTTCCCTGCTCCCCCCCCATGTGTCCTCTTTGCATGACATGAGACCGTTGTGACGTGACCGGGGACTGCTTAGGCAGGTGGAGCATAACTGGGATGAGGTCCACAAGGGTCTGGCTGCAGGTCCTGGGCATGCCGGGGACCACACAGGTGTCCCATGGAACTGACTCTAACACAGTTCATCTCTGTGGTTGCTTGCAGAGCGATTACCACTTCGAGTACACTGAGTGCGACAGCAGCGGCTCCAGGTGGAGGGTCGCCGTTCCCAATGCTGCCGTGGACTGCGCTGGCCTGCCCGATCCTGTGAGAGGGAAAGAGTGCAGTACGTCTCTACTCTCCGATGCCTGTTTCTGGTTACACTGTCATGTCCTCCTGTGAGCAGGACAGTCCTGCAGGCACAAGCATTCCTGTGGATGACTAACAGAATCCAAGCCGCTTTCTTAGTGCCTGGTGGCCCTGGGTCTGCAGTCTGGGCAGTATTACAAAAGATCTGTTTACGTTTGTGTTTAAAATAGTAGAGGGCAGAGTAGAAATATTTATCTTTAATGGTGTCTTTTAAATTAAAAGCATCTGTGAATTGTATGATATGAACGCCAGAGTTTGGCATCTTTTAACATTGCAGTGTCTGGTGCAGTGGTGCCAAGTATGTTCTCATTGCATTGCTGCCTTTGCCACCAGCTGTCCATGACGCTCATCTCACAACAGGTTTCTTTCTTTTTATTTTTTAGTTATAGAAATACCTTGAAGTAATTTTTAAAGTGAAACCTACAGAGTATTTGTAGAGTTGCTGAATATCACCTTCAACGACTTATCTTTTGGCAATTAAGGAGCTTCAAAGTGCAGCACTGTGAATGAATGGAGTGAAATTGATTTTCATTTATGAATTCTACCTTTAGAGCACTCTTTACTTTGGTGAGTCAGGGGTTTCTGTTAGGAGGTAGCCTAGAGGTGATCTGCACTTCAGACCTAGAAGTGACAGAGTTTGTTTTGATATTCCTGCAATCTTCCAAATGGTATTCCTAAAAGCTTAGTTCTTCTGATTCCATGTGAAAAAGCAGGGGAGCAAATTATTAAATGGGCAACTGATTCCTTCTCACTCGCAGTGTGTCTGTGATCAGCTGGAGGATCAGCATAGGTGAGGCTCTGCTGATAAAAGGGAGATTGCACAAGTTCGATGAGGAAGGGTTAGGGGAAGGTGCCATTACTCCTTGGTGGAGAACGTTTAATGAATACAAAGAGAACCTGAGTGCCCTGCAGCCTGAGGACATCCAGCACGTGTCTTCAGAACAGCATGATTACTGGAAGAAATTAGTCCAGGACCAGTTTTGTGGAATCAGTTCTCAGAGGGTGGTGGTTAAAAGGGTGAAACAGCCTGGATAATATCTGTGCAATCAGCTGTGTACAGCTGTCTCCCAGGAGTCTCCGGTAGTGCTTACCTACCCTTTTCTGTCTGGAGCAAGGGTTAGGTCTCACTAGGTAGCCCCTCTGACCCATTGTTCCTGATGGTCCTCTGGGCTCTGGCCCGGTACCCTGTGATGTGGGTATGTGCTGCCACGTCCAGCACACCTGTGCTTCTCACTGACGCTGCTCCCTAGTTTCAGGCTTATCAGAACCATCATAAATCCTAACTTTGCACATGGGGGCATGGTGGCCCTGGCCAGCACTGGCTGTGGAGAGCTGACTGTTAGTTGAAATGGGCCATGGGGAAGATTTCCATGGTGGCAAGTGGTGGACAGGACTTCTTCCCTCTAGAGCCAGACCTTAAACACCTAGTAGTAGACCAGGACTTTGATATGTTGGCCACATCCGTTGCAAGATTAGTGCCTGAATAGGAACATTTCTTCCAGTGCTGCCAGGTGCCCTTTTAACTCATTATTTACTAAAATGTTTATAGTGATATTTTGAATCTGACCTTCCAGCAAGATGTTTCCTAGAAACTCTGACTAGAATTAAGCCACTTGTAATTATTGCTTGCTTTTAAAATCATACTTATTTTAAAAACAACAATGCATGAGTGATGACTGGAACATTTTTTATCTTCTTATTTTGTCTGAAATCTGAATTTCCAAATATTCCTGCATAGTATATTTGCTTTGGTAGTTGTTAGTCTGGCCTTAGACCTGTGACTTTTTGTTATGGCAAAGGCAAGTCATTGTAAAGCTCACAGATAAGCTGCAGTTCTAATTCATCCAGAAGCTGTTAAGTCATATGTCAAGTGTGCTGCCTGCCACACGGCTGGTGGTTCATGTTTGGCTCTGATAGCAGCAGAGCCCCAACTGAGCATTCTTCAGGCGTGGATTGGCTACTGCTGACCACAGCTAGCACTGTCCAGACCTGAGTCTGCTTCAGAGCCACCGTGGCAGGCCGCTGCTTCAGGTTGGGACCCTTTCCCTGAAATGTTTAGAACCAGATGACTTGGATCTTTTCTGAATTTGGACTATTTGTATATGCATATTGAAATATCTCAGGGATAGGACTCAAGTATAAACCAAAAATTAATTTGTATTTTAAATATACTTCAGGTACCTAACACAAAGGTAATATATAGTAAAAAAATATATAAATATATTATTAAATATATAAAATATATAATATTTTATAAAATATAAATATATATAAAATATATAGTATTTTAAATGTTTTAGTACTTGAAACCATCGATGTAGAATTTTTCAGTTGGGATGTCATGTTGACATAGAAAATTTTGTATTTTGTAGCATTTTGTATTTTCAGGTTGGGGCTACTCTCTTTACTGACAAGAAGACTCAGACTTCAGGGATGAGCTGACCTCTGGGTGGCCAGTCTTGGCAAAGACAGATGCGTGTGCCCAGCACCTGTCCTGATCCAAGCTTGCCTGCTACCTGCAGCTGTGGTTGGGGGCTCCAGCTCCTGTGGGACACAGGATCCCTGTAGTGGATCCTGTTGGCTTCAAGAGAAGGAAGGATGTTTAGGGCCCTGGCTGTGGAGAGGGTCATTTTCTGGGTCCTTATTGCTCCAAAAGGAGACTCAAACCCAGAACTTGATCTTAGTTGAAACTGTATGGGTTCTTTAACAGGAATTAGGAGAAAGAGAGACAGTAGAGGAGGCCTTTCCTAAGGGATTATAGGTTTGTTTATGTGTCAAGTTTTTGAGAAAATTGATGGCTAAGCTATATATATATATTTAAAAACCCCTATAAAATCTAACTGCAGGTTTCTGCTGAGTGAGGTCAGTGAGATTGGTTTTTGTGGTGCTGGTGCCCTAGGGTGGATGTGTTCCTAAGTGAACAGGACTTAGGGGAGGGTGGCTGGGGCCCCAGTGCCCCCAATCCCTTTTATGAGGAGCCCCTAAGTCTCCCCCGTGGCCACCCCACCTCACATGTCTCCCTCTGCCAGCTCTTGGTGCCAAGTGTGGGTCACCTATGGATGGCTCTCCATGGGGGTCCTTTGCGTGCAGGTTCCTGAACCACCACAGCCACTGCATCTCAGAATAGAGCCCGGAGCTCTGGTCTCACTTCACTTCCCCACGCTGGGTCATTTCCTGCTCCATCCTGGAAGCACAGGGTTTTCTAAGCCTCTGGTGGACCCTGGCTTCCTTGGCTCTTCTGGCTTCAGAAACAGTGGTCCTCTTGGTGTGGTCTCCAGGTGGTGCTCACATATATTTTCTCTTATTTATTTGGATGCTTTATTTGGGAAAGATACATACTTTATTGTTTACTCTTTCAAATATTTCTGAGTCCATGGCTTTAAACAATATAACCTTAACGCATCATTTTCTGATTGAGGATAGCCGAGACACAGTAGTGTTCAGTGTGTAAGCATGAAATCAGACATTGTCTTGGACACTTTGTTTAATGATCCAGTATGTCAGTATGTAAATCAGTAATATGCTGAGGTAATAAATATATTAGCAAATGTACATATAAACATATTTAGATACATGTAGATGTATGTGTGGATACTGTGTATATAATTTACTTTGGTAGTTCTTATAAAAGGTCTAGGAATTAATGGAGTTTTAATGACACAGGGCTTACAGCCCTATATGCATATGTTTGAATTTTAATGTTTTATTATTTACTTTTAGTGTTTTCTTGGGTCAATTCGTGCTATATTCAAATTAGTTTTTCTAATCTGATTCTTAAACCTGTTATTATAACCCATATTTAATGGACCTTAAAAATAAGCAATTAAATGTGAAAAAATAGACTGAGGCCAAAATTGTTATAAGAGACAAAAAAAGTCATTACATAATGATAAAAGGATCAATTCAACAGAAAGATAGGACAATTATAAATGTACCCAATGGCCAGCCAACTAAATATATAAAGCAAACATTGACAAATCTAAAAGGAGAAACATACAGCAGTGCATGCTAATGGAATGGACAGATCATCCAGATAGAAAAATCCATAAACAGATCTGAATAGCCTTGAGACCACAGGGACCTAACACATGCTTCTAGAACCTTCTACCAGCAGCAACAAGATACACACACTTGTACAGGGGTCCATCCCTCAGGATGGATCACACATCAGGTCACAAAGCAAGGCTTGACAAATGGAACTCACCCCATACCTTTTCTGGCTACAGCAAAGTGAAACCAGGAATCAGTAGGTAGAGGAGGGAGGTTTGCAGCATGTGCGTCACCCCAGTGATCTTGAGCCCACTGCAGGTCACTGCTCGGCTGCTGGAGAGCCAGGCTCAGTTGACATAGCTCATGATCTCTGTGGCTTTCCAGTGAGAAGGTAACTGGGACCTGGTAGAAATTATAACCTGGTTTTATCCATAGAGTTCCAGGGTGTTTCTGTCATCCATCTGTAGCCCAGACAGAAATCTCAGTTGCTTCTGAAGGACCCGGATGTGGTGCAGGGTGTCTGGAGTCTACACCCTGCATCTCAGCATCAGGCCTCTTCCTGTTCATTGACCGGGGCTACTGCGTGGACCCAGCAGGCATGTGTGTGGTGTGCAAGCCCGCAAGCCAAGGCAAATGGGGAGGGTGTTTGTTGCAAATTCCACAGAGAGGCTGACAAGGCTTCACAGTCATTTCTGTTGGAGATGGAGCAGGGTTTCCTCAGGAAGATCCTGATTGGTTTCTGGAGCTTTTCTAATGCTGTCCTCACAGATGGCTCCTCCTAACCATGACTGTGAACCTCGACTGCCTCGTGACAGCCCCATATACGGTGGCAACCAGGGCGAGCCACTGCCTTGGCAGCTTCAGTTCTCCCTGCCAGGCAGTGTTTCAGCAGGCCCAGGGGGACAGCATCCCCAAGACACAGAAGTGCTGCAGAAGGAGCAGGAGGATCTGTGTGAGGGCATTACCAGGCCCTGAAAGGCGCACAGCGCCTCCACCAAGAGCATCTCACCAGGAACCCCCTTTGCTTTGCTCTGACTGTGCAGCTGGCACGTGTGCTCTTTTGGAGGAATGTACTTCCAAGATGCCTCCAGCATGATTCCTACCCTTCGGCATCTGGGAGGGAGAAACTCATTGTTGAGGTGGTGTCCATGCCACAAGGTTGAAAGGGATAGTCCTTGGTGCTGGCCATGGAAACCCAGTCAGCATCTCTGCAGCAATAACCTGGGGCCTGTAGCATACAACAGAGCAGCAACTTTTCACACCATTTTCCTGGAAAAAATGAAGGTTAGGACTTAAATTTTTTTAAAAAACGTGTTTGATTGGATTATTCATTAAAATGACCAAAAGTTTTCAGTCAGAAATGATTTTATTTGATATAAAAAATCTTGGTGAAATTAGATATTTACATGTCATTTCATAGTTTATTATATGCAAAAAAGGTAAAGGTGTTCCACTTAGAAGTTTGTGTTTTTCTAACAAGAAGTGCAGCAAATGTCTTCAGAAAGTAACTTCAGCATCATTATGGTCAAATGTTTATTCCTGTTCGTAATTGATGAGGTTCATACTTTGAACTTGCA